TCCAACACCTCTACACAGTTATGTTCAACTGGGCTCTCTGATACTGGGAGCAAGGTGGTGGGGTTTAGGGTGTTGCAAACTTTAGTGGTTATGTGGGAATTTTCACATAGCAAGCTTTGGTACTTGGTTAATCTAGCATTTGTTAACCAATGATGTCCTTTGGTGTTTATTAAAGTTACCACAGCATGGGAGGTCTCTATATTCAGGTGTTGCCTAAGGGTTAGTTTATCTGCTTCTTGTGCTAACAGGGCCTTTGCTGCTAGGGCCCTTACACCTGGGGGCCAGCCTTTGGAAACCTTGTCTAGTTGTTTTTGAAAGATAGGCCACTGGCCTTGGCCAGGACCCCACAGTCTGGGTTAAAACTCCAACTGCCATTTTTTCTCTTTCTGACACACAGAGTGTAAAGAGTTTTGTCGGGTCAGGTAGTCTCAGGGCTGGGGCCGACATGAGTTTTTCTTTTAACTCATGAAAAGCTCATTGCTGTTGGTTGTAAATAGATGTAGTTTATCTAATCTACATTTTTATTAACTGTCACCTACTAAAATACTGACTCAAATCCTGCAGCTATTTGATTTCAAGCTTTAAATTGATCTGGTATTCCTCGTGGGACTCCAGTTGCATCTAAATAGACATGAGAGTCGAAAGACCCATAAGGGGCTTCCCTCGCTTTATGATGTCTTATTATTATTTTTTCCTTCTGGTTGATGAAATGCCAGGGTGAAAGGGATAGCCAATTGGACTAAAGCACAAGTGCCACTACAGTTATTCAGCAGAGTGCCCAGTAGAGGTCCACCACAATACCACTACACATCTGCTCAGGGATGAACAAGGGCTGACTGATTGATAAGCTCTTGAAAATTCTTAAGCTCACTGCATCCTTTCAGGTCTCCAAGGAATGCTAAGTTTCCTCCCCATCGTGAGAGACACGAAGTGAACTTAATATTGGGAGACGGAAGCTGGATGGCCCTCAGGGGCTGAAACGCTGTGTGCCGGACTTTGAGATATAGCAGAGAGAGAGCTTGGCATGAGTTATTACCCCAGGCTGTAGAATCCTGGAAAAGAGCTACCATGCAGCCCACACCTGGTCAACTGGAGGACCACCTTAGTGGAAAGGGGACAATCTGGGCCTCTGGCCTGCCATGTGCACAAGCATAACAATTGCTTTTGTTTAACGTGCAGATGGAATATTTGATCCATTTTAACCAGGCATTTGCATCTTGGTATCCTGTCTTAATTGCTAACGTTTAAGTCTTTAACTTCTATGATCCTCTAGTAAAATAAATGTATAGTTTTAGGGAAATTACAAAAACCAGTTGGGGCAGTCCATCCTTGCTCTTTAGTGGTCCACAGAACGTTGGACCAACTATGGCATGAAAGCTCTACATCGGGGGGCAACACTCATGATTGGCACTGGGGTCTTTATCAAAATCTCCTCAGATTAAATAGTCCTAGTTTACTAATGCCTAGTCTGAGGAGAGTCAGAAGGGACAGAAGTACTTTTCTGAAGTAGAAAGCTGTCTTTGACTTGGCAAGTCCTCACAGGGTATAACAAGGCAAGCATTAAATGCAATAGTTCGTGGCGAAATTGACTTGGTTATATTAATAACTAGATGGTCAGCAATAGAATGAGGAAAGAAGAAAGAGTAATAGAATACACTAAAATAATTAAATTTTTCTTAGTTTTAGTTTGGTAGGGTTTTCCCCTGGGACTATGGCCCACAACTCTGGAGGGGTAGGCGCTTTCTTGACTCGGGTGTGATGAGTCCATCCTTTTTATGCTGTACGAACAGCAGTCTTGGTGGTTAGCAGCACAAGGTAAGGTCCTTCCCAGGCTGGCTCGAGTTTTTCTTCTTTCCACCTTTCGACGAGAATGTGATCTTCAGGCTGGTGCTGGTTTACTGGAAATTCTAGGGGTGGTACATGTGCTAAAAGACTTTTAGTTTTTTTTTTTTTTTTTTTTTTTTTTTTTTGCAAGAAAGGAAAGTGGAAGATAAACCAAGTATATAATTTTTGAGAAACTGACCTTTTGTTTTAAATGTGGGGACCTTGGGAGTGGACTTTATAGTCCTTAGTGCCTTTTTACTGAGAAATTTCCTTTAGCACCTATTTTTATTAGTTTTTAAACCAAAGAAAGCCAAATACCATTTTACATTTAACAATGCTTCTTGTATGATTTTTACACCAGATAAGCTAAAGGTTATCTTTATATTAGTGTGCCATTAATGTTAAACCTAATTTTAATAAAACCTTGTAGATATATTTAATTTTTAATGTTTGACCATAAGGTAAGATTTTATAGACTCTTTTTAATCTTTTATAATTTTTCCTAAAGAACAGGTTGGTGCTTTAAGAAAAACCTGTTATGCTTTTACTTTAATGTCCAGTTCACGGAAAAACTGGATGATACTTCTTTAACTTTAGCTCATATGCTTACACACAGAATGTTCTTTACAATTAACGTTTTCAAACTTGCTTAAACCTTCAAAACAAAAAAAAATTTTTTTAACTTTTTAATGTAGGTAAAAACGTACAGTCTTATGCCTCCTTATAATCCTTTTACCAAAGGTATATTTTGCTTTTCTTATACACCTTGCACATAAACTGTTTTTTTCCCCCAATAGTTTTACATTCAGGAGGCCTAGTTACTTTTAAATTATAAAACATTTTTTGCATAAATTCTTTTTTAACACACTTTTTAAAATAATTTTTTTTCTCCACGACTTTTACAGGCAATTTTTCGACATGCCTTAACTTTCTGACTTATTACATTTATTTCTTTAAATAACCAGTTAATTTATTTCAGGACAAGAATTTACCATAAAACACTCCTTTTATATGAATTCCGCCCCCCCCTTTTTTCCCCTTTTTTTCCCGAAGATGATAACCATTCTTTTCCAAAGCGAACATTTTTTTGTGTCTGTGGACTAGACTATCTAAGGCCACAAGAATATAAGTTACTATAATACATGTTACATTGTTAACTTTTAGCAAACTTTACTTTTGTTGAAAACCTTGTAAGTTTGGGATTTTAATTATCCTTTGCTATTCATAAGACCTTGTTTTGTCCAAATTAGAATTGGTATGATGGCTTTTAAAGGAATAGGGTACTTTTTTTTTCTTTTTTCTTAACTACTTATTTCTCTCCTTCTTTCTTTCTCTCTTTGACTTTCCTTTTGCCTCTGTCTCTCCCTCTCTCTCTCCCCTTGACTCCCTCTTTGTCTGTCTCTTCCTCTCTCTGTCTTTGCCTCTTTCCCTCTCTTTCCTTTCTCTCTCTCTGCTGGTCTTTCCTTGCCTCTGCCAGCCGCTTACGCTGCTGTTCTCTCAACCACTGTGCGTTGGGGGCAGGGGTCTAAAACCAGCTGTAACCAAGTGTCTATGTACAAGAACTGGTCTGGGTTCCCCGGCTTACATGTTACCTTGTGCTATACCTTTGAAACATGGGACCTGTCCAGGCTTCCTTCTAATGGCAAACCTACCTCTAATGCTGGCCAGTCTATCTTACACAAAGTTTTAAGTTTTCCTGGTGTCATAGTACTCTATAGTCTCCCTTAAATCTTTTTTTTTTTGAAATTTTTCAACATAGTTCCTAGTGGAGTGGGCTTACTTTGTGCTTTACCCATGTTTCCTCTAGACAAAACACCACGCTAACACCACACGCACACCACAAAACAAAGAACGGGTAAAAAGGGCACACACACACTTTTGTAGTTTACACCAAACCAAAATAAAAACCAAAATCAGAGTATCCAGGAATCCAAGCCAGGTCAAAACCAACACCAAAGTATCAAGTCAAAAACAAAAACCAAAGTGCTGGTACAGGCACACCGTCGGTGATCAGCCCACGTTTCCCCTCAAATGGAGTGGACAAGTTCCCAAGACCGGTCCTGTGAAGCAACTCAAACCAAATCAAAATCAAAACCAAAGTGCCAATAAAGGCACGCCATGGGTGATCAGGCCACACTTCCACTCAAAGGGAGTGGGCAAGTTTCAAAGACTAGTCTTACCAAATTTTAGATGTCCAGACTCCAAGTGCCCGTTCCTTTCTGGTGTTCAGCCACTGTGTTGATCCTCCACGGGAGCCTGCCACACACTGCTCTGGAGAAGCGTACCACCAGGGCAAATGCCTACCAGGGAGCGCTCTCAGCTCTCCGGCTGGTTGGAGTCCCCCGCAGGGATGTTCCCCGCAGGGCAGGCTTAAGGCGCCTAAGGAGTTGCCTTGACCATCCACCATTCATCTCGCTTCCCGGTCAGGGAACCGAGAAATATAACAGGACGAGCGGCAGACAAAACTCCTCAGACATCGAGTTAAAGAAGGAAAGGGTTTATTTGGCCAGGGGCATCAGCAAGACTTCTGTCTCAAGAGCCGAGCTCCCCGAGCGAGCAATTCCTGTCCCTTTTAAGGGCTCACAACTCTAAGGGGGTGCACTGTGAGAGGGTCGTGATTGATTAAGCAAGCAGGGGGTACGTGACTGGGGGCTGCATTCACTGGTAATGAAATGGGAACAAAACAAGATAGGGATTTTCACAGTGTATTCCTATACAATGTCTGTAATCTATAGATAACAAAATCAATTAGGTCAGGGGTCAATCTTTTCCAGGCTCAGGGTGCTGCACCGGGCTGGCTGCCTGTGGATTTCTTTCTGCCTTTTAGTTTTTACTTCTTCTTTCTTTGGAGGCAGAAATTGGGCATCAGACGATAGGAGGGGTAGTCTCCTCCCTTAATCCCAGCTACTCGGGAGGCTGAGGCAGCAGAATCGCTTGAATTCAGGAGGCGGAGGTTGCAGAGAGCCGAGACCACATCATTGCACTCCAGCCTGGGCTACAGAGTGAGAATCCATCTCAAAAAAAAAAAAAAAAATCTGTATCACTTAAAATTCCCTCCAAAAATGAAGGGTAGCCATGTCCCTCATCGCGGGTCACCTGGGTTAAATTACTAATCTGTAAATGTTAAGTGTCGCCAATCTTCTTAGTGTTTCAATTTGAAGAGTCATATTGTGAAATGCCAATCTCTTAGTCTACCTTTTAAAAAACTTTGCAGGGGTTCTCCACGGCCCTTAGAATAAAGTCCAGATTCCTTTGCAGAACAGGATCTTGGAGATTCCCTGCTCCAGGAAACTTCAGGGACTTCTCTCCTGGGGACTGTTCCCTGGTTTTGGGAGCGCCCGGGCAATCGCGAGCCAGGGCAGCGTCTCGCTCAACTCGGACCCAGGCCTGGGGCTCCACTGACGCCGACGGAGCCGGGCTGCTGCGGGAGTGGAGCCCTGAGAGACCAGAAGGGGCTTTCACTTCGCTCCTGGGCTTCCCGAGTTCCAGGCTCGGGCTAGCCAGACGCAGGGAGGCGAGCGGGCCCGGCTCCCCACAGGCTGAGGCCGGCGCCCGTGCTCCTTTCAGCTCGGCCTCTCTACCCCTACATAGGCGCTCCACGTGCTTCATTTCCAAAATTCTCAGCGAAACTCCGCGGGAGACCCTCCCGCCTGGTCACATGCCTGAACGAAAACAAACCGGGGCGTGTCTGTGCCTGACGGCTGGGAACCAAAGCTATTTCCACAGAAAATGCCCACGGCGACCCACGCAGGGCCGCCCAGCCATGAGTTATAGCCCGGCCAGTGCCTGAGACGCCAGGAGGAGGGGATGAGTTGCCCTTTAAAGGCATAACGACGAGAATAAGCCCCCATCCGCGGCAATGGGAGGCTGAACAATAGTGGCGCGGCTCGGGACGTGGAGCGAGGGCCCAAACTACACTGGAGCACGTGCGGACCACCGTGCCTCAGCCGCCACAAAGGGAGCCTCGCCACACGCCCGCGGTCGCCTCGCAGCACCCGCCCGGAAGCGCCTGGCGGAAGGGCGCGCTCCCAGGCGCTTCCACTGGCGACCTTCCGGCGGGAGCCCGCAGGCGGCGCAGGAGCGACTTTCCTTCCCCTGCCCCGCAGCAGTGCTGAGTAATGGTGAGGGCAGCAAGGCCCTTGGCCCTCGTATGTAAGAAAAAAGTTGTAATAAAAAGAAATCAACCCGGGAAACTTTGCCACTTGGTTCCCCACAGGTACCAAACTGTGCAGAAAAGACGGTGTACACGCCTTAGAGCCCGGACCCAGCAAGTCAGGGAAAGAAAGGAAAGAGGGCAGAAGCCACAGCCTGCATAGCCTCACAACCGCCCAGAGGGCACGGTCGCCCTGGGGCTCGGTCTCTTTCGAGCAGCGCAACCTCCGTGTCTATCAGCTCCTTCCGGCATTGCGATTGGCCACAGGCTGTCTTGGCCTCTCGGGCGCCCGCCTCCTAGTTGCTAGGGGTTTACTTCCCCAAAGTACACGGGCCCCACCTTGTGGCGCAACCGCTCCTGCATGGAAAACGGATCTCCGCCCAGGGGAAGACGTGTTAACGAATAAGAGCAGCCCCGCATATTTATTGGCTACTCTGGGTATCAGTCAAAGAACTGCTCACCCGCCTTTCTATTGTACTTTTCGGTTATTGGTCTCTCTTAGTGCCGATCTGTTACTAGGGAAACGAGATCCTCACAGTCTCATAGGCATGAGTGAAAGCCAATCAAGAGCCACGCCTTCATCCCGAGTAAGTACCCAATTGCTGTTCGAAGAGCCCGGAGGACGCGGTCGGGATTGGTCATCCCGTCGCCCGACCTGGCTGCAACAAGTTAGGGTGAGTGGCAGCTATATAGACCGGCGGCGGAGCACGCGTGTGTGCGGACGCAGTTGCGTGAGGGGTTCCTGCTATCCTTGGTGCTGTGGAGCAGAGCTAGTTCCTCTCCAGCTCAACCAGGTAGGTACGCAGGGGTGTGGGCGGGGCAGGGCAGCCAGAGGACTAAGCCGAGCCGCGGCAATTGTGAGAGGGAGAAATCAGAGTGGCGCTCGCAGCGGCCGCGCCATCCGCGTCCCCCACCCCCACCCCAACCCCAACGGCCGCAGGCGCGCGCGGCGGACGGACGGGAGCGCGGCGGCTCTCCGCTCCCCCTCCCCTCCCGACTGGGGCGCGTGGCCGTGTCCGCCGCGTGCGCGTTCTGCATCCAACGGCCACGCGGGGCGGGAGTGAGTCGCGGCCGCCGCCCGGGCCCCAGGGCGGTCTCGGGGGCTAGGGGCTCTGCGCCCAGCGTTTCCCGCCCGCCACCCTCTCCGCCCCGCGTCTGCGGAGTGTTTTCGTCCCCTGGCCAAGAGATCCAGTCGGTTCGGACCAGAAGGAGGCTTTCGTTTAAGGGTGGGTGCAGCACTAAAGTCTCTAGTCTTGTGGTCCGCGCGCCGCAGAACTGCCTTCAGTTTTGCAGGGAGGAAAGGGAGCAGCGAGTGCACGGAGTGATAGTAACCACCAGTATTCTTTCCACGCTCTCGCTGTGTGCCCGGCACTGTGCGGAGCCGCTTTTCTGCCTTTCATTTGATTGTCGCAGTGAACCGGCGAGCTGGGTACGGCTGTCCTCCTTCCGTAGCGGCCCAAAGCAAGGGTCTGGAGAGCGGGGTCCCAGGCACGCACGGGAAGGGCGGGGATTTGCTGACGCCGGGCCCTCTGACTCCAAGTCCCCCGCTTCCCAAGCCTGTTTTATTCTTTGCCCCCAGAGCACTTGTCCCTCGGGACAGCATCAGCCTCAAAAGGCCACCTGCCGTGCAGGCTGCAGCCGCGTTTGTACTTGGGCTAGTCTGGGCTTCCAGGGAGACAGGGGTTGGTAGTGGGAATGTGACAAAGGAAAAGGGTTTGGGCTTCTTTTCTACGTGTATTCGTACAGGCCGTGGGTAGATGTGCCGCCACAGTAACTTCTGGAAAAAAGTAGGGAAAACGATGAGTAAGTGCAAATGAACATGGACTGTGTACCTCATCGGGTTTGAAACTCAGATTGCTGATGGGAAATTCCCGCCAGCGGGAAGTTAGGCTCCGGTTTTAGACGTTGAATTTTTTTTCTCTATTTTTTTTTTTTTTTTAATTGGAGGAGGCTTTTGTAGAAAGACCTTAAGAAGATTAACTTTATAGTTGAAGAAAGTGAGGTACAAAGCAACGAGTTTCAGATCTCACTAGCATCTGTGGGTTAAAATACGGAATTGGAATGGAAAGGATGGCGCCCAGTTACGATATACATTTGATCTGTGTGGCGCGTGTCACCCTGGCTGAATTACTGGTGTTGGAGATGTCTTGGAAAAAACTGTGACAGTCGAGATCAGTGGATGAAAGTTTGTGTACACACTCCGTTTATTTGGCATTTACTCTGCTGGGTTCCTGTGTATATGCAGAAACAGGATGCTTTTCTTCAGACACTTGAGATTATATTTTTCTAGTAGAGTTACCATATTTTAGGTTATTTAAAAGCCAGCATACTCCTTGGCTTAGTGAAATAAATCTTCCTATGTTATAGAAACGCTTCTATAAACATAAACGTTTCTATAAACATGTTCTAGAAACTCTTTCTAGAGAAGCTGTTATGCGTTATAATATAACAATGTTCCAAGTAACATTTACTTGGAACTTTCCTGGTGTAGCAATTCCGGTTACCTGCGGTTACAGACTGGTTAACTATTGTATTAGCATTTTAACTTAGACTTAAAGACGAGCAATTTAAGTTGTCAAATGGAAAAACACTAGAATGATCTGCATTTAAACTGTTAAAGCTTGAGTCCAGCTAATTTTATTACTGCTTGAGGCAAAATAGAATGAAATTACCTTACGCATTATTGAGGGAAAATTTTGTTAGTTTCTACTTAAAATATTAAAAAAAAAAATACAGTTCTTGGCCTCAGGCAAATGGTTATCACTTGGGCAGGAATATGCAAATTACGTGATTATTTCACAGACTAGTGCTCCAGCTGATCACTTGTGCATTCCTTTATCAGGAACTAGTGAGTTGAAGCAAGTTGCGGTAATGTAAGGCTTGGCAAGGCCGCCCTACATCCCTACTAAGTCATACGTCAGTTTTGTTGGAGCTGCTTACCGGTAGAAAAGTCTAGCTTTTGTACCTCTTACAGGTAGAAAAGTAGACAGTTCTTTGTTTAACTCAGTTTGCTGTTCTCAGCTGACAGTCCACCAGGGAACATAAGGAGATTTTGGTAATGTTGGTTTGTGACCTACTTAGAGCAGTTTTTCTTTTGTAACTTACGGTTTTTCTTTTTTTCCCCCACTCGTTCTAGTATTTTGCATAGAAAGTGAACGGCAGAAGGCAGTTTTAAGTTTTTGTAAAAGTTTGTGAATTTTATATCGTCCTTGGGACTGATGGGGTTTGTGTTAAAAGATAAAATTTAACATAAAGCTTACATTTGTGACTAAAGCCAATTTTACAATTTTTTATTTTTGTCAGTCTGATAAAAGTACCCACTTGGTCTTTTAACAGTTTGCAAATTGATTTTTTTTTGTTTCAGAATTCAAATAGGCATTGTATGTTGTTTGTTTAATTATATTGTGCTTTGGCTTCCTTGGACAAAACTATTACTGACTTTAGGAAGAAGAATGAATAATTGTGGAAGTAGGTAGGTCAAAAAAAAAAAAAAAAAAAAAAGAGAAAGGAAGCCTCGTCCGCCCCCCCAGTAATTTGTCAACGGCAAGTGGGAAAAACCTTTGGTAGTGCAGTACTGCCCTTCCAAGCCCTGGAGTTAAATTTAGATTCAGCAACTGTTATCTTACATGTAGTTGGTGATCACAATGTGGTGGCAAACTAGGTTTATAATTTTACATCTCAGAAATCAGCTATTTACTTTTTTTTTTTTTTTTTTTTGAGTATTCTTGGACATCCTGTCTGTCTTTAGTTGGGAAGGCCAAATTGCAAACCAGGTGATAAGGTTAAGAGTAGGAATAATTCATCCACATGAATAATGTCTTAACACATGAATAGTGTCTTAATATTCTGTCTTACAAGGTGGAAAGCAATTTCAAAAAAATTGCCCTCACAGCCTGTAGCTTAGTAAATAAGGTCTTCAGGCGACTTTGTGATAGAGTCCCTCTTCTGTCAGATGGCCAGTCTGTCATGTAATACGTTTTTGGTACGTGTGTTGTATCTTAGGTACTTAATAAAAAGTAAAGATTAAAGATGATTGAGATAAATTTGGCTTCCTGGATGGTATACACATCTACTTTGTCGGGGTGTAATCTTTGGTGTCTATTAACTTCATTGGCTATATAAAGCATGATTATGTATTTGTGTAACCCTTTGCGTATTTTGAAAGTGCTTTCACACCTGTGGTATTACCATACTTATACTAAAAAGTGAATTGGCGCTCTGAAACCGAATTGTCAAAACTGTTTTGAAGAGCATGTGGTACCTAATAGGGTACTATAGTCAGCTTATTTCCTTAATTTAAAAAACTTAGAGGGATTTTGAATCTGGAATGTATGAGTGTGACACCTACCTGCTCTTGCAGGCTTCTCCCATATGCTGTTTCTGCAAAGCTATAGGCTGTGCCTTAAGTACACCCTTGTTTCTGCACTCTGAGGTCGCCTAGATTTCCCTGGAGTGTATCCACCTGTCTTGATCATCGGTTTAAGAATTTTGTCGATGAGCATTAGTATTAACTGTAACATATATTTTCACTTGATGAGAAAGAATGAAGGTTTTTCTTTATGAACCTGAGTAGGTTTTAACTTCAGAGTGGGGAAGGGATACGCTGAGATAAAAGATAGTTGTTAAGTATTCTTATTCCTGAAGTTTTTTTTCTTTCAGGAAAATGGTATTTTTGAGATAAAATCAGATTTCTGGAAGAGTTGTAATAGAGAGGTCTTAACATACCCATTATCCAGTGTTAACATCTTACATAATCAAGGTACATTTAGCAGAACTGAGAAATTGACATTGATAAAATACTGTTAATGAAAGACTTTATTTGGATTTCCTTAGTTTTTCTAGTAATGTCCTTTTTCTGTTCTAGGATCCAGTTCAAGATGCCACATTGTA